GTCGGCTCCATTTAATTCTCTTCTTCTTCTGTGTGAAATCTTCGATTTGTTTCCTTTTTATCAGCTCAGATTTTCTTCAGCTCTTTTTCGGCCGTCTTAATCTTCATATTTCAGCTCATTTATCTCTATTCATCACGTATTTATTTGGTTCTGATTTTTCTTTTTTTACTTTCTTATCTGGCTGTTGTTTTGAAAGTGAATTTGCTGAGTTGCCGGCATTTTATGTTCTACTTTCAGTTATTTGATGTATCACCGGGGCAGCTATTTGTCTGTCTCGAATTTCTGAGCTGAATAAAAACCCTAAATATTTATCGGTGGACCAATTCGCGTGCTTCGCCGCTTCCGCTGCTCGTAGAGTTTTCAGATGGTGAGTATTTTAGGTGCCTTCGTAAAATCCATTTCGATTATGTCGTATAGTGTACCTCCACTATTTTCAGTTAATCGATCTGGGAAAACCCTAGACTACGCTTTTCGTACTGTTGTACTGAATTATGCTTTTCTTTGAATTATATATGGGCAAAGCTGGTTATCTATGTAACTTATCGTATGTAATAGGTGGATTTATGGTTTGTAGACATCCTTGCCTGTTGTTGAAAATAAATTAGGGTTTAAGGGTTCATTACCCTTGAATAATGTGTACTAATAAGTTGCAAGTGATCATTATTTTATGTGTAATTTTAAGTGTCTTTAGGTAATTGTTTGCTTCAGAAGTCGATTATCCATGGCCATATGTACTACTTGTTGGAAATTATTATTTTATGTGAGAAATAAGTACATGTGATGACCACTAATATGTAACTTCCGAAGGCTTTGTTCTTTTTTACTCGGATTTTATTGACAGTAAAACATTAGATCTAATGGACTTTGTTTGAGAAACTCTAGATTTTATTTCTTTTGATACATATCAATTTGATGCTTATCATTGTATTATACTTCCACCATTTGAGAACTAGTAATTAGCTCTGCTGCTCAGTATGTCGTATATGTTCACAAATTGGGTCGTCATTCTACAGCTATAATGGACGAGGAGCATCATCAGAAGAATGATTCTAGTATCATCTTGAGGACTACAGTCCCATTCATTGAGATTGACTCTCTATTTATAGATCTTTCGAGTTGTATTGATAAACCTGATGCTGGAAACTGTGATCATTTCTCCATACGGTATGACCTTTACATTATTAAGTTAAGCACTTTTTTGTCTTCATTAAAAAAAAGTTATATGGCTTTGTTTGAAAACTGAGATTGGGTTCAACTATAGCTTGGTTCATGCATTTCTCATTGAAATATTCCTGCACATGGTCTTCTCCTTGTGATTTTATACACAAATGGATCATTTCCACAGCTTGGTTTTCATGCTGATGTTGTTGTCCATATACAAATGAAGGTGTTTCTACTTTCTTTCAGCTGTTTTGTCCAATATTTTGGAAATATCTATAGCAAGCTTCAATGAGAATGCAACAATCGATAGCAACTAAATGAACTTCTCTTTACTTCTTGGAGGAAAGTGCAACTCACATCACATTGTTGCTTTTCTGTATTGCTATCCAAATGAAAGATGTGCAAAATGAAATCAGCATTATTATCTCACCTAGTTTAACATGTTCTTCCAACATAAATTTCAAACGGATTAATTATTTTGATAAAAAACATGTTCTGAACATCCAATGTCAAACTTTTCTCCTCACCAATTGTCTCTTGATTCAGTGGATATGCATCTCAAATGCGTGAGAAAGATTGGAAAAAATGCTGTCCATTTGATTTGGATGGCGACTATGAATCTGAAGAGACAATATCCTTGCTTCCACCTTTTCATGTTCCGCAGTTCAGGTGGTGGCGATGTCAAAATTGCAGGAAGGAGAATCCTGCAGGTGGTGCTAAAAAGGATTTAATAGTTGACTGTTGCCATGTCATTTGTATCATTCAAAAAGGCGCCTCCCCCCTTCTTTTTAAATGTTTCACTTTGGCATTTTTGCTGTATTCTATCAGGTTTTGAGCAATCTTCAAGTCTAGATATGCCTGAAGGAAGATTGGCAGTGGTTAATACATCTACGAACTTGTGCAACCTCAATCATCCTCCGTCATTCAGTGTTGAGAAAGAAAAGAAAGCCAAAGGCATTCTTTGTCCAAATTACTTTTCCATTTTTAACGTCCTACTCTTTCAGTCTCTTGATCATTTTATTTGTTTCTTTATTCTCAGGAGATGAGGTTGACTCTAGAAGGATCTTGAATTCAGAAATCCCCATATCAACTAGTCTCGTGCCAGAAGTGAAGCCAACTCTTATGTTAGAACAAAACAAAAGTGATTCAGGTAATTTACTGCTGTTATGACACCATTTAAGAAACCTGCTTGGAGACCATTGCTGAAATTATAGTAGTTAGATATGCAACCGCACATGTTTTCATATAGGGGCATATTCCACCAGCATATATTTTTGTAAAAGTACCTCTGATCATTTATATAGCTCCTCATAGTTGCATAGTACATAGCTCCTTATCTTATTTGTAAAACAGTAACTCTTAATTCAGAACATAGAGAATCCGTTGAAAACTGCAAGCTACTCTGTGGGAATGAAGTAGCTGAGGTTGAGCTTGGTCTTCGAAATCTCAAAGTGATTGATGAAAATACTGAAGTCTTCGAAGAAGAAAAACAAACCTCTGCACATAATGAGGAAACTGAGATAAATTTTTCGCCATCCGGTGTCAAGGTAATTAATCAGCCATGTAATGGTGAGAGTGATCCTACAAATGCATATCCTGCAGAACTTGATGAGGGTAATGCCACAGCATTTGAGCATACTGAAATTTCAGTAGAAAATGATAAACAAGATCATCAAACAGACAAGGCAGGAAGTTTGCATCGTCGAAAGGCTCGTAAGGTGCGCCTGCTGACTGAGTTGCTGAATGAGAATGAAAGTATAAAGACTAATCATATTGAGACAGAAGAATCTCCATCCCATGGGACTCCAGAAAAATCTGAAGGGTTAAAAGAGCTCTCTGTTCCTCAATCTCCAGTGGCTGCCAAAAGAAATATTAGGTGTTCAGGCCAGAATTTGAAAAGCAAGTTGCCAGTGGATGAAGATTGCCTGGCTGCAGAGGCTTCCTCTTCATACTATATGGACAGCAAGATCCACGCATTGAAGGGAGGTGTGGAAACAACAGATGCCTTTCATGCTAATGAATCTGAATTAATTGGAACAGGCTTACGAACTAAGAAGAGTCTCTTGAACAAGTGTAGGAATGATGTGACATCTACTCATGGTAAGAAGAAGAATAAAAAGATCCAACTTGATTCATGCTCTCCTCTTAATATTCCACCAGGGAGTGGTGACAATATGTCTGAAATTTCTCTTAAACACAACGAGTTTTCAGGCAGTGCAATGGATCCATTTCTTTTATTTGGTTCAAGAATTGAGCCAATTTCTAGTTTGTCAAAGAGGAAAAGCAAGATGCCTGTAATTGATGATGGGCGGGGTTTTACTTCGAACCATGGCATGCCAAGAAGAGATTCAGTCTCAAAAGAAGTGGAGGTCAGGAAAAATGAACCTGTGCCTGTTCCTTGTCAATCAGTGCCAGATGAATCTAGTCGAGGATTGCATCTTTCTCTCACTAGCTATTTAACCACAATAAGAAATGATGAAAAATCTATTTTTGAGACTGAGGATAGCTCACGTTGCTTGTTCTCTTGGCAAGGAAGTACATCCACAACAAGCATTGTTAGGAACAAAGATGGCAAAGCCAAGAAACATAAAGACCCAAATGTTTCTTTTAATTATTCAGATAATTTTTCTGGGCAAGGAGCGCATTATGGAGTCAATAGTAAGATGACCACCTGCAGAATGCCTTTCCCAAATGGGAAGCAAAACTCAAAGTCTCAAGTTGAAGATGATAGCTGGTCTCAGTTGCAGGCAATGGTATTAGTTCTTTCACACTGTTATTGTAGCCTCCCCCCGCCCCTCTTTGCATTCTGCATGGTTCATCTAATTGAAATACCCTGTTGACAATTGTTTCGTGGATCAATTAAATTAATAATTGATGCAAACATATATTGTTTTGTAATGCCTTGAGGATTTCAGGTGGATGAATTTATATAGTTTGCGTGTCAAGGTTATAGATCATATCTGATTGATTGTTTGAATTATTCTCATTTTCTTAATTTCTTATTTTCAATTCTCCGACAAAAGGTTGGGATTGAAGAGTAGCAAATTAACTTACATTTCCAAATTCACTCCCCTCCTGGCCGAACAAAGTCTCTGAAGATCATTTGCTTTCTGTTTCACTCATCGCAGCTATATGGGTTTTTTTTTAACCGGGAGTCGAAACTTTGCTCCACTATACCGGGGCACCTGCGCCCGGCCTAGCCCATCGCAGCTATATGTTTTCATCTCGATTTTCTCATTATTGCATTAGGTTAGTTTTCTCAAGGAACTTCAAGTTTAAGTCTCCAACCTGTCTACTGCTCTATTCTAAAGCTTGCAGAATCCATCTCTCCATACTAATCCTCGGATGTGTTGTTTTTTATGAATGGAAAACTTGTAAAATTTTTACAAGTAGCTAGGTGTCTTAAGCTGTGTGCTAAAATGGAAACCTTCTTTATTTATACTTCATGGAACTGGAAACTTATATTTGCATTTAACACATCTAAGAAAGATTGTGAGCTACCTGTCTTTTGTACGTGCATATCACCCTCAGGAATTTTAGTATAAAGAAAGTCGTTGAAAATTGCTTATGAAACCATAAATCTTTATTTATAATAATTGTACTTTTTGGACGTTCCTCAGATTTTCTTGTTCCTTTATTTACAGTTTAAGTCCACTTACTCGTAAATCTTTTATTCTTCTATTCCCTCTCCCTATATTTTATCAGATTAAGATTCCAGATTTTGTTTTTAAACTAGTCTCCATGGTTTTGTAGGATAATTCTGGTGTAAACAAAGTTGAAAAGAGTATTGCAGTTCAGGAGCACTTGGCAGCTCAGATGAAACAGAGTGAGCGTCGGGTTGGTAAGATATCTGAGCAAAGAGCTTTAGATGACATTCCAATGGAAATTGTTGAGCTCATGGCCAAAAATCAGTATGAAAGGTGTCTTGATAATACTGGAAATAATAAATCCCTATCAAAGACAAGTTCAAAGAAATCTCAAATTATGAATTTCAGTAATGCATGGGGCAACAGTGGCTCGTTGCAGGAGAAAATCAGTCATAAGTGGAAACCCCAGGTTAGGAATGGGAGAAATAACATACATACAGCAGGAGATAATGTGGGATACGGCAAACAAAGTTCAGGTAATTACTTTTCTCACACTGAGAGAGGACATTTTAATACGAACCACCTACATCAAACTCTTATTCCTCCAGAATATGCTGCATTTGTCCATTCTCAAAATAAGTCATCAAATGCAATAAAATTTTTGGCAAGCAGTACTAGTGAGAATGCGTGTCCTCAATATAGCAAATATACCGGAGGTCTGGTAGATAAGGAGTCCTCTCATTCTAGGGTGCAATCTTTTGGTGGATATAACACACACCGGCCTGTTTCACAAAACAATGTAGACGCAGCTCATCTATGGCCAGAAGCCCTACCAAATCACCATTCATATGTATCTACCACTCATAAAAAGGTTGCATCTCAATCGACCAGTGTAAATGTTTGTACAAACTATCCTGAATCAAGTAGCAAAGGGGCTATGAATAGAGAGCATAATATAAAATTTTTTAATCCGAAAGTTACCAACCTTGAAAAAGATGGTGGTAATTATAGTTTTGAAAATTTTAGCAGGACCAGTGCAAAACACCCATTTCCTTGCCATTCTAATGGCATTGAGCTTCCCCGAAACCTGATGGGGTCATTGGATTTGTATTCTAACGAAACCATACCAGCAATGCATTTACTCAGCCTTATGGATGCAGGAATGCAGCGCAGTGAAACACATGATAACCCAAAATTTCCCAAGAAACCTTTTCCCCGTGATCTAAAAGCTAAGGATATTTCTAGGCTGGATACTGGTTTGGATAAGACCTTTGATACCATAAATTGTTCATCTGATTATTATGGTGATATCCACCCATCAAAGAAGTCTCACGATTGTTTCCATGCTGCTTCAGTGAGCGGTGCATCAGTTCCTCCTTCCATAGGAAATGAGAGTTGTGAAATAGTTGCTGATTTAACAGGTAAAGTTCCATTGCAGTGTAAACAGAGAGGGACAACCAAGAACTCCACTTCAGCATGGAACAGATCTGTTGGTGCTTCTAGAGTTAAAAAATCACAGAGGAGTGTATTTACAAGTGGTAGTCTAGGCTCCAGTGAAGGAGTTTTCCCCTTTCATAGCTTGCAGAAGAAATCTGGCGGTGCATCTAGTTCTTTGGTGGCTATGTCTGGATATCAGAGAGTGGAAAATCCCGTGGAATGTATAAAGGAGCGCCATGGTACCAAAAGAATGTTGGAGCACTCTAAAGTCAGTTCTGAGTTTGGAATCTGCAGCATTAATAAAAATCCTGCTGAGTTTAGCATACCAGAAGCAGGCAATGTGTACATGATAGGAGCTGAAGATCTAAAGTTTTCAAAAAGGATTTCTCCTGAAAAAGTATCTGGCTTGATTAATACGGATGGGCGCAAACGAAAGAGGAATGTAAAGCATGATGTCATAAAACAACATGCAATACGGTAGAATATGTGAGATCGTGACCATCAAGAAAACTGCGCAGGTAAAACTTTCAAGTCGATTGCTTTCTGATTTGGATCGAAACATATTTTTGTCTATGCCAGAGGTCAAATATGCATCTTTTGAAGTCACTGACTTCACTTTCTTCATTTTTCAGCAGGGTTGTAAGTGGTTCCTTTTCATTATTTGGGAACTTCAAATGTCTTGCTGGTTAAATTATTGTTCAACAATGTAGAAAATATCAGATATAAACTGCCGTTACACCCAAGGATATGTATGGCTTGGGGAAACTTCCCTCCATTTATGGCAATCTCCAACAAAGGCTGGCTGCGGATGTCATGTTCGGTATAAGTGAAGGCCTGTACATAAAACTACATGAATCTCGAGATTCATCAGTACATTTATTGTATATGCAATTTTGGTTTGATGTTGTACTTTGTTATACTTCACAAGGTTATGTATATACGCTGAGTTCTTCTCTTTGGTTTTGGGAAGAGGGTAAGTTACGTCAGTTTCATGCACTTGATCAGGTAGCAGTGTGAGAAGGAATAACAGAGAATCAGCGAGATATTTCTCGATCCCGAGGCTTCATTGTTAGATTATTCGTGTTGGGAATACTAATTTGTAGCTTTAGTGTGAACTATATGTTGTACTGTGACGTTGTGCGAGTGAGATTGAAATAAGAGGAAAAAAACTACTTGTTCTCTCTGTAGAAAGAAAATACTGTGCATTTATTGTCTATCATTGTACGAGGTTGTTGCCATTATACCAGGTGACATACGTTACACAACACCATCAGTCCCCGTGGCATTGTATTGCCTTTTGCTTGGTTTCTTTCTCAAGCTCAATCGTGAGTATTGTGGACACTGATTCTTAGGTTGCTTGCTGTTTCAAAATTACAATTTTTAGATGAATGGAATGGAATATTGAAACCTGCAGAAGTTGATGCTTCTTTTGCCTATCAAGTAGCGTGAAAATTTTATAGTGTTACGGGTCACGTATTTTCCTTCCATTCCATGCTTTTCACGTCTAACAAAACTATAGCATGAACAAAGAGAGTAGCGTGTGTTTTAGTCGACAACTTCATGAAATAACCTCTAATAACCTCTCATCGAAATACAATGAAATCATTCATTGGTTCGGGGTCCTTCAGGCTTCAACCTCATTCATTATAAGCTCCTATATCAATTAGAAGTTGGAGAATATTAGGAACGTCTTGAGCAACAGCTTCGTTACTATAAACTTTTGTTTTAATAATTTAAAAGTTGCTCAAATACATGGCTGTGTTGTCGAAGTTATTTAGTATCAAATCACGAGAACTTATTTCAAAGAATGTCTTTTTTATATTATATCTATATAACTTTATAAAATTCAACGTAAGCATAAGCTAATCGGAAGCCATAGGTTTGATTCCCCAGACGAACTTTTTAGAAACTTCGCTTCAGATCATAACAATTCAAAATTTTGGAAAAACCCATTTTTGCAAAAACAATTAATTTGAAGGCTTTATTTACATTGATTTATAACTGCTTCTTTTAAGAATATACCATTATAATTATGGGGGGTAAATTCGAGCCATCTTCCAAGTTATTTACACTTTAACCGTCTATGCTTCCATTGACAATGTCAAGCTCTTTCTAACTTAATTAATTATGAACTTGTTGGTTAACATCATTCTTATTTTCACATTATCCTATTTTTAAAATTATGGAGAATTACACTATCATGTTTATTCAAAATAGTAATTTATGTCCAAAAATTGATTTATCATTGTCATGAGATACACAGTGACAAGTCATTTGGAACTTGAGATACTACCTTCGTTAAGGTTTCAAGGTCGAATCCTATGTTATTAGAATTTATAAATAAAACAAATTATAGAAATTTGTATAGATGTATGATATTCCTGTTTTTGTTATGATTCAATATATTGATTATTTTTTATAGGATAGTAAATAATTGAAATATCATCCCTTTATTTACTAAAATAAGAAAGAAACAGTAACTCAATGGCAATTTTCTGATTTCCGTCTAGCAGCGATTTGGCCAATATTTTCAAAATTGAAATATTATATATATAGAAAACTATAATGGAAAGTTTCAACAAAATATCTGCTTGGTAAAGATTAAAACGTTAAAATAAAGTCCACAGTCAATTTGCTGGAGCTCACATATTTCAAAGTTAATACATGGAGTTATATGGTTTGAGCTAATGTTAAATGAGCGACGTGATTTCCTCAATTTTTGTCTTTGTAATTTTGGAAATTTCTTATCTCTATAATTTTAAAGGTTACAATTTATTTTTTCTTTTCATTGTAGTACAACAATTTAGAGAAGCAGATGATTTAACCTCAAACCTTGAGGAAGGCTCTCGCCTTGTTTCAGTCAGAATAAGTCTCCAAGACGAAAGATACGAATGAAGTCGACCATTAATGACTAATTCGAAGATCAGAAATTCATTAGTCAAAACCAAATTGTCTTGCAAACTAGAAAGACCCCATTTCATAAGCGCCATTGAGGAATACAAGTTTGATCAATTTGGAAGCAATCGTCTCCCCCGTCCGATCGAGCTGAGGTCGATGATGCATCCAGTAAATTCTTTGCATTTAAAAGGGTCGAGTGCTCCTGYCCCTTTCCTCTTTAGGGCTCCTATGCTTATTGGCTTAAAGGTTTCAATTTAATTTTCATAAATCGGTCAAACCACATCTTTAATAAACCAGTGTATTAAATATATGGCATATAACTATTTGCATGGTTATAGACTTATGTTTTCTAATTGGACTAATAATTGTGTCAACTACTTGTATTAGGGTTTAGATTTGAATGAAAAAGAGAGGAAAATGAGAAATATTGAAATTAAAAAAAAAAGTAATTTAACCTAGCTAACCTAGGTCTTTTAAATAACACCTAAGGAAGAAATAATTGATTGAAAGGTTTGGTTATATCGTTAAGAAAAGAACACAGTGAGACATGCATGGCAGGCATAAGCTGTTTAAAATCAACAACAATTTCAGCACAGACAACACAAAAACATGTCTTAAATTAACATATTACCCTTTTAGAGCACATATAAATTAGGTAGCTAGAAGTTGACCACATCAATTCTTCTTCTTCTGTTCTATATATTGTCCACAGGGTTTCTGCTACTCAGTACTCAATGGTACTAAAATTGTTGTATCAGAAAAACATTGCCTCTGAAATTTTCTGGGTCTGGGGTCGGTCTTGGTACACAATTTAATTTACTTTTGACTCAGCTCCTGGTTGACAGAAAAAAGCCTCAGGCTCAGACAAGATAATGGCCATGGAAAATGTGACAAAAGAAAGAAAACTAAATTTTTGGTTCCTCAGAACTTTGATTATCCAAATCCAGAAAAGACCAGAACAAGTACCTAGCTTTACAGCTAATTTATAATGTGAAACCATGGGTCAATAAAAAGGGAGTTTTTTTTTTTTCTGTAAGAAGTATAACTTGGGGTTTCAATTTTATGTACCAAACCAACTCTCTAATCTCTACCCCATTGTTTAAGTTTCTTGGGTATTATTGTTTAATCGTCTGGGGTTTAATTTCTGTCAATATAATATTTTTCAGCCTCCCAAAATCTTATGTTTTAATGAACCAAAGACTAATTGTTAAAATAGAGATAGAAGTTAGAAAATAGGTGTTAAGACTGCATTGCACACAGTGGAATAATGAGAGAACAGAGAATCTGTTTGACCAGCAGTAGTGTTCTCCAATCCATGAAATGGGCTGTGGCTCACCTGATAGATTCTCTAGTCCTTCTCATCTCACTCTTTCATTTGTTCTTGTGTACTAAAAAAATATTAGTAAGAACAAATGTGCATATAGTCTAAGGGAGATTATAGATAAAAGGTTCAAATGAAAATATATAATTGTTGATAGTTCAAGAAAAGTGATTATGGGCTAATCTGAACTTAACTTGAGACATATATTTCTATCTTTAGTTAGTGATTTGACGATCTTCCCTCTATAATTGTTGAACTAACATAAACACATAAACGAAAGTGATGGTGGGAGTTAACAAATTCATTAAAAATAGGTAATGGGTAAAAGAGAATAGTGTTTGACATAGATATAAAAAAAAGAAAGACAAAATGAGGAGTAAATAAAGGCTTGTTTTCAGATTTTGATTTTCGGATTATGTGATTAGAAATTCTAAAACGATTTTTATATGTTTTCAATGTTTTTAAATTTAGAATTTGAAATTTTTAAGATGCATAATTATATTAAATACAAACTTTAATAAATATATTACTTCATATTATAAATTCATTTTATATTTGTTACAATTAAAACATATAAATATAATGTATTCTAAATTATATAACCTTGTAAAATTTATAAAAAAAAATGTTAATAAATTAATAAATTAAGTTTGTAACTAGTTTTAGTTTACAAATATGTTACTAAACACAACAATTTTTTAAATCGGGATTCAATTACCAAATCTGCTTATATGAAAATACTGAAAACAAAGAATACAACTCTAGTTTTAATCGAATCCCTCGTTTTAAATTTACCAAACGAACCCTAAGCTTATTTGAAGGCGAGCTGGTTTGAAAAGGGATTTATTTTTGGTAGGATGAAAAAGGTGTCCAAAAGTGGTTTGGAATGGAAAAATTGAAAGAGTGGTGTGAGTACCCTAAAAAGTTAGATAGTAATGAAGGGGAATGGGGATAGTGACAATGAGGAGATGAAAGGGAGTGGAAGTGCTAAGCCAAAGCTATACATATTTGAATAACAATGGAGCTTTCAAAAATCCAAAACCAAAAGAAAATAAAAGAGTACACACAGACTGTCAATTTGTCAGCCTCTCTCAACTCACACACACACACACACACACACACACTACAGCAAAGCATCACAGAGCCACCCCCCACACAAATATGCTGCTTCCCAGCTTTACCAATAAACATTACCCTATATCTACCCTTTACAAACCCCTCTTTTTTATTATTATTTTATATAGTTTGCTCAATTATGCGTATTAGTAACTCTATTAATTTGATTGAATTGTTCCCGAAAATAAACATATTTTATTCTATTTTTTACTCAATCTTAGACCTTTAATTGGTTAAGACATTTTATCTACCTATTGTAATAGACAAAGAATTTGAATGATTATTTATTTAATGTGATTCCCTTTTATCCACGTGAGATGTTGGATGTTGCACCAAAGGCAAAAGCAATATAGAAGATTAATTTGGATATAGAAGATCAAATTTGCACCAAAGGCAAAAATTTGTCATAGAGCGCTTTTTCTTTTTTTTTGGGTTGAAATTGGTAGGTTAAAGATCAATTTTATGCATTAACTAAACCTAATTTTTAGCATAAACTTGATTTTCATGAAATTAGTAAATTTTTAGAATTTCCTACTTTTTTTTTTTGTTATAATTAATTGGTGAATCACCACTAGTGAAAATCACAATAGTTTTATTTTGATGAAATGAACTTGAACTATTTAGACACAGGGCGCAGTGAATTGATTGCATATTTTATAATTTTGATGTAAAACTGATGAATTTATGAGATTCTAACATATCTTTTGTCGTATATTTAAGTACTTATTCTGCATATGGAACATCGGGTGTCCTCTAGTACACCACATTTCTGGTCTTTTATAAATTATTTAAATATCAGTTAGGAGTATTAATAGTGAATTTGGAATAACTTTTATTGAAAATTCATGTTTTTTTAAAAGCAAAATAGTGCTTTTTGCCTGTCAAATAAGAAAATAAAAAAAGGTCTTTTGGAAGAAACAATGCTCTCTAGAAATGTTTAGTATATTTAGGGATTAACCAATTAAAAATAACTTTTATATATACTATTATATTTTAAGATTGCTCGGGAGTTCAAATATTTTATTTTCAATATAATGTAGTATCTATTTTTTTAAAAATCTCTTAATTTAGTCATTTATATATGTTTTAATGTTTTCTTAATTAAATACATAAATTTATCAATATGATATTTAATGCATTTTTAGAATCAAAACTTATAAGAGGATATAAGCCAAGTTGAATTTAGCTCAACTGGTTTAGAAGCTAACTTCGATAAAAAGCTATATATTCTTGTAATTCCGTAATACGTATGTACTTTTTTGTTTTTTTAAAATCTAACGTCCTAGAACATATGTATAAATGTGTTAACTAATTAAATTATATTCAAATTGGCCAATAACATTGAAACATTGAGATTGCATAATCTTTATTACTCTATGTATAAACATAACTTTTTTTTTAGTACAACATGTTGGGGAGGAGATTTCGACTCACAACTTCTTGATTGAAGGTATATGCCAATTACCGTTCACCTATGATCACTTTGGCTCTATAAACGTAATTCTTAAGAAAGGATTTGCTAATAAATAAATAACACTGAGATAACCTGAGAGGGACGTGAATGGATAGAACATAACATATAATGCACCAACCAAAACATTGCTCTTAGATAATTAAGGTATTAATAATATTCCTTGTTCTTTTATCAAAACTTCTAAATTACACCCCACAATTATAATGTTATATTATATTAAACGAAAAATATGTGTATATTATAATGGGATGCTAATTAAAGAAGGACATAGTAAGTAACAAGCAAATCATAATCTTTTTTTTAAAAGGATAAAGATATTAATTAACTAACCAAATATCATTTAATTGTATTTGTCATCTGAAATTAAGGAGATCAAGATATCACAGTCAGCTCCGACGGGACATATATCCACCGTCGTACGCCGTCGCCGGATTTGGATCTCAGGTTGCGGCGGAGCATCCGTCTTGCTGCTCTTGCAGTGCCTTAAGAAGCCGCGCCCCTTTTCTCCTCCCCCTCGCACTACTATCCCCTTGCAGCGCCAAAACCACAGCACGCGCCACTTCCTCCGGCGGCGCCGTCACCGCCGACTCGGCGTCCGACGAGACCCCATTGTCGAAAATAACCCCAAGCACGCTTATGGCAGATTCCTTCCCCCTGGCCGCCATTCTTCCCATCATCGTCACCATCGCCGGCACCGAAAGCGCGTGGGCCCGCACCTCCGCCGCCCCCTCTGCCACCGTACACATAAGTTCAAGCGACGCGAGTGCCCGCTCCGCCGCCACGTCTTCCATCTCCGGCAGCGACTCAATCACCGCCCCGACCGCCCCGCTCTCCACCGCAATGTGGCGGTTGCCCTCCGCCAAGCAAAGGGCCAGCAAAATTTTGGTCGCCGGTTTCGAACCGGTTTTGCTACTCAAATTTGCCATTAACCCGCGCATCAATTCGGGAGTGCAGTCCGGGTCTAGTGATGGGTCCGGAACCAGCGACCGTTCCAGGAGCTGGAGAGCGGCGAGCCGGTCGGCGTCTGAACCGGAGCTGAGCTGGAGCTCTGCCACGTGGAGGATTTCTTTCAGATTTTCGGCGGAGATTGGTGGCGGCGGAGGACCGGAAGGTGGGATGGAGAAATTAGACGGTGGGTCGGAAACTGATGGTTGTTGGGAAAAAACTGGCGAGTGAGGAAGTGGGAACCTCCATTGGGTGAAGCTTTGGGAGGCAGAGGAGGATGATGACTCGGAATCGGGAAGCGGTGGACGGCGGGAGTGTTGTGGCAGTGACGGTGGCGGCGGCGGCGGCGGTTGGTCGGAGGGAAGGGAAGAAGGGAGGGCAGGGGAATGGGGGGCGGTGGGGCTCAAAACAGAGCGAGTGCAGTGGCCGAAGAATCCACAGGAGAAGAGCTGAGTCTTGAGCTTTGGCTGCTGAGTTCTCATGGCGTTTACAGAATTCCTAAAACAGAGAATCAATTCAAATGAGAATGAGAGAGCGAAGTGATACGGAGTTGCATACGAGCCTCTCAATTGAGTTAATTAGAGACGTGCCTCTGTTTTTGGATGGTCATGGTACAAACATAAGATGCAGAATTTGGCAGGACTGTGGGTAATGTAATAATAGCCTTACTTCTCAGTCTGACACTGTAAATGTGGGCAATGATATGCTTGTGACGAATGCCCTTCAATTATTGTCTCCATATTTATTCAACAAATCCATTTCAAATCTTACCCATATTGCTTGTGCATATAAATCAGGAAAAAAGACTCATTTTTTCCAACTGGGAGGTGACATAATAGCAAAAGAAAACTATAAAGTTGAAAGAACCATAAAAGAAAAAGGAAAACCCAAGCATATAAAGTTACATGGAAAATCTATATAATGACTTTTTCGGTGTCGGTTTGCGGTAAATATTATATCTGTAAGACATTTTAAATGTTGACGTAGATACCAATATCTAACTTCTCAAATTTATAGAGGGTAACATATAGATAAAATATTGATACACACTTGATGAGCTCGTAAAGATGGTATGGATTAATAAGTAAAAAATAATGTTAGGTAAGTAATAAATAATTCTTTTAACCATTTATAGGTATGACATTTCTTTTGTTTTGCGAAGGAGAAATGCCATTTCTAAAGCACAGAAAAAGGAAAAGAGAGAATCTGTTTTGAATTATTTTCCAAAAGTGAGGTAATTAGCTATATGGCTGCGGCAAAGGTGGTAATGAATTAAACCATTGCTTTCTCAGGGGGCAGGCTTCATATTTCCATATCTTTTGCCCATGTTTTGTTGACTTGTATATTACCTATGGTTTTCCTCCCAAGTCCAGTCCACTCAATTATCCATTCCATCACCGTCCGTGACGTGAACAGAACCCAAAAAAGAGAAATATTTCTTTTTTTCGCTGTGTGAATCTCCCTTATTGGAACACGAGAGAGAGAGAGAGAGAGAGAGAGAGAGAGAGAGAGTAGTTGAGTACGAACTCCAACTGGGTAGTTTAGTATCCCCTTTACTAAGCTATCCCAATAACACATACAGATTTCAAATCAAGCTGTAATCTTAATTCTTAGCCAAGTTTGGAGGTTTAGACTCTGGCCGAGCTTAAAAAATCCCAACTTTGTGCTCAAGTTTCACGAGACAATGGCAAAATGACTGTGTTTTCTGCGAGTTGCAAATCAGCCGAGATTTACGGATACTGCACCAGTTGTCTCTGTAATCGTCATTTCAGTGTTAGACGCCTATATTTCAGGTATTGAAACTTGGGTTTTGGGTCTTATCTATTTTCCTTTGGGATTTGTTTGATAATGTTGGGAGAATGTTGGAACCTGCAGATACGCTTCCAATCCTGATAGTAGCTTCATATCTTCTTGGTACATAGTTTGAGTTTGGACTGGATTTGGATTCGTATCGAGGTCTCCAGTAATTTGGGGAAAGTTGGATGGGTCGGGCTCCATAGGATGAGTTGCAATGAGAAATTTTTCTTGTCATCGAACTGGATTGATTAGATTTGGAGCCTCTGTGCTTTGTTATGGTTGCTTTTTGGTAGCGCCAGTGGAATTGGGAAGCTGGGGTTTTAACTTTAAGTGAGAGTTTTCAGTTTTTCATGGCTTCTATTCGAAGAACTTTGTCCCCCGTTCCTCGACCTGGAACTTCAATGAATGGAGAAGCGTGTTCAGTAGGTTCTCCCCTGTCTAGGTCTTCCCTATCTCCTCAAAACTATCCTCTATCTACTGGTCTGCATTATTCCCTACTTAATTCATTGGACTCCGAATCTGCCATTCTTGGTGTCTATTCTCCGAGGGCTTCTAGACCGATCGACAAATCGAAACCCAAGGCACAGCTTTGGAGGAGGGCGCTGTTCCATTTCTTCATGTGTTTCGTTGCAGGGCTCCTTGTTGGATTTACCCCATTTGCATCTACCAACTTATCCATGAATTTCATATCAAAGTATCAAGCTTTCCAGTTCGATAGGATCCCCACGGTCGGAAAATTTCAGCCTCATAATAGTTCTAGTAGTACCATCCCTATTCCATTGGAAGGTGAAGACATGATGAGTATCCCAGACCAAGCAGAGGTGTCATTGTATAATAACATTTCTTATGACAATCTTGATGACCATCTAATTGCTCAAGAATTAGAGCCTAGGAAACTACTGATAATTGTGACTCCAACATCTGCTCATCCACTCCAATCCTATTATCTTAATCGTTTGGCGCACACGCTGAAGTTGGTCCAGCCACCGCTTCTATGGATAGTTGTGGAAGAGTCCTCCCAATCTGATGAAACAGCTGATGTACTGAGGAGTACTGGGATTATGTATAGGCATATTGTTTGCAGCAGAAACTTAACCGATACGAGAGATGGAAAAGTTCATCAAAGAAATCTAGCCCTGTCTCACATTGAGACCCACCGCCTCGATGGAATTGTTTACTTTGCAGATGAGGATAACATCTATTTGGTTGATCTATTTGAGAAAATGAGGGAGATCAGGTACTTTTGCTATAACGTATCGTTCATACACATTATTTCTTAATGCCTGCTCAGTACTCACGTTGTTAGATATATGCTACAATTATGATGGACAAACTTTACACTAGACCTTAGAACTTCATTTTCTGGATTCTGTTATATCTTCAATTTTTTTTCAATCAAGTTGGGACATTTCTGATGCAAGCTGACTGATTTGTTAATAGTTCTTCATCTTCCGTTTCATATGTACCATATCAGTTGCCTCATTCCGGTGCATGTGCTATTAGGTTTATACTTTTTGTATGGTGTCCTCAATACTCAAGATAATAATCGGAACCGTGTTGCTCTTTGAATATGTTGGTACTGATTAACATTCATAATGAAACATGAGCCTATTATGGCCAGATGCTTGCTTACCTGTGAACTTCACTCAGCATATTTTTCGACCACATTCATATCTATACTGTTTGCTTTCTGAAAGCATGAACTATTGATCTCTTTTTTTCGAAGATGATTATAGAAATAAAGAGAAAATAAATTTTTCAATTTTCCTTTACCTCAAAAAGTGTGGAGTCAACATTACTTTTCTCTCTCTGCATCCACAGGAAGATATATCATATTCTGTTGGTACCTGCTACAAACTGATTTGGATGTTATCTAGAACATGCTTATTCTCAATGTTTGAAGAGTGTAATCGTTTTTTTTTTTCCTTTTAGTTTTTTTAAAACCTTGTTGCTAAAGATCTATTTGGGTAGGCTATGTGTACCCTTTGCATCATCAATAAGTGCATCCTAAACCAGTTTATTTATTTTGTATTTTTTTCATTTGTAGACGGTTTGGAACTTGGCCGGTGGCCAAACTAATAGGGGGTACCAGTAGATCCGTTCTGGAAGGTTCCATTTGTAATGGAAGTCTCGTAATTGGATGGCACATTAATGAATCAAGTATGAGACGCCGCAGATTTCACGCTGAAATGTCAGGCTTTGCTTTCAACAGCACCATTCTATGGGATCCAGAGAGGTGGCGTCGACACACTTTAGAACCTGTTAGGCAGCTTGATACTGTCAGAGATGGCTTCCAAGTTAGTCTTTCTTCTTGTTCATGTATATAATCCGTTACTCCAACTGCTAATGAATGGTGGTACTGAACTGTAAGACTTGAAAACAATGACGAGAATTGTCATGGAGCATCATTAAAGAATGAGTAAAAATACTTCACATAGCAGGAGAAAGATATGAAGCTCTTCACAATCTGCAGTCCATTGTTGATCTAGAGCTACATACTTTTGGAATGGAGAAGTACACAAAATTTATTAACAACTAAAACATTTGAAAAGTAATATGGAGAACTTTCTCTTCCTTTGTGATAAGTCATAAGATATTGCTAGCTAAATTGACTCATTGGAGTAATCCACTGTTCTAATATTCAAGTGAACTGTATTTCTTTATTCATACCAACATAATTATTTGAAAATATAGATTTGAGAATGAGACTTGATCAAGATTTCTACTGTACAATCCATTGAATCCCAACTCTTTTTCTGATCAAATAGTCTGAATAAAGAATGAAATTATGTACTACTTTGAAAATAAGAAGTGGTGGAAAGTAGATCAATTCTTTCATGATTTTCATATTTTTCACACTTAAAAAACTGGCAACTAAGAACTAACGAATCTGTTCTTTTAGGCAAGTGACTTCATTGAACAAATTGTGGAGGATGAAAGCCAAATGGAAGGCTTACTTGAAGACTGCTCAAGAATCATGGTCTGGAATGTTAATTTTAAACCATCAAGCGCAGTTTATCCTCACAAATGGCTCGTGATGAATAATCTAGATGTCACTGCTTCACTTACGTGAGATTTAAGATCTGAAAGGAAGGTGAGTACTTGAAGCTCTCTTTTTCACTGATGATTGTTCTAACTTGTGGTTTAATGACTTTTTCTATTCAACTGAATGGGAAAATGACAGCCGAGAGACCCCCGTTGGATTTTCAAATGTTACGAGTCTAGTGGGCCATTTAAAATTCTTTACATTCTCTCACATCTCTTGCTTCCAGACCTACTTTCGAGACCAATATACATCAAACTCATCTTTTCACACGTTTGAAATCTTGCTGACTTCATCCAGAAAGAGATTCCTTGATCTGCTCAGATGGCCTTCCAATGTCCAGAAATTTTTCAAATCATTTCTGTTGCATACAAATTGCTTGGCATTGTCGTTGTCGGTGAGAGATACTACAAACAGTAGCAGTTTTCAAATCATTTTGACTGATTGTTCACCTGATGTAGTCGAATGTGTGCTTCTACTTTGCCAAAATGGCAAACCTTTTGGAAGGAAGTCCTCTTGTCGTACAATTCAATATTGATCTCCTTTTCTTCTAAAGGACATTTGATGATTTGATTTTGTATAGAAGGACCCAGTTTCATGTTCCTTCCGTTGTTAGGGACAGGTGATTAGACTGTAATTTAAAAACCATCCCTTAAGGTTCAGAGAGACTCTTGAAGAGGACTGAGTTTTTAGTTCAATTTTTTTCATTACAGAAGTAAAAGCAATTTTGAATCACTGTTCTTTGGGGTAAAACTGCATTGCTTTGGCTTGCTCCTGTATTACACTTGCTTTCAAGCTATTTATTTGGTGAAGGCATTCAACATTCTCTCTACTAAAACAGTAAACACTACAAAAACAACTCAAGATTAATGGAGAGAGTGGGAACTAATCAGATCTTTAAATTTGGTTTGATGGGTTCTTATTTTCATAACAGATGTTTGTACATTGAAATTTGCCTCCTTAGAAATGGGAGGTTCTTGACGATGATCATGAAAACTTCTACCTTGAATACTGAGACCAGATTCTTTCTCTTGCTCTCTTTTGTGGCAAACAAGAATACAAAAGGATTTGCCTTGCCCTGCAATCCTGTTAAATTCTCTACTACAAACTTATTTCCCGCTTCCTTAATTCAATTTCTAAAGCATAGTATGAGTGCGAGTCACTCCATTCTCATTCTTTTCCTCATCTCCAACTTGTAACCTCTACCAATCTGGCTTCAAAAATTTGGATCTGATGGTTCCCAATCTGGATCTGATAGCTCTTGCATTTCTCCACGGCTCCTTCATCGCTCTCGCTCTCCTCATCGTAATCTTCGTCGTCTTGGTCATGTTCTTGCTATTGTCTTCCCTCGCTCTCTTCTCGGTATTTCTGGGCGACTTGTGGGATGCTTACTCAGTTGTGTCTCGGTATTATGAAGAAGTGAAAGCTGAGATTGAATTGGGTGTGTGGCTAATGGTGTATGGTGTAATTGGTGTTGGCATTGATGTTGTTTTTGGTATAAAATCTCTTTTCCGACAGCAAAATCTAAGATTTACCATAAGGCTTCCCCAGATGAAGGTAAAAGAAAAATGGGGCTTTGGCATGCATGGCAAGCTATGAATGGTGTCATCACTTTTAAGAAACTCTCTGTTTCTTCTCTCTCTCAGCAATAATGATCCTCGTGCTTGGGCTGACTCTGGCTTCTGCTGCTGCTGCTTAATCAATGCCCATCATATTCATCACTCTTTATTCAAATCTACCCATATTCTAATTGAGTTCTTTTCATGTACATCCAATTACTTTGTTAGGGTAGGGAAAATAAAGGGGTGAAATTTTCAATCTTTTTTTAACTATTGTACTTAATTAGATTTAGTCTCATTCTTTGTAACTTCAAATTCGAATAATCGGTGATTTTGTACTATTTGTGGCTAGATTTGTAGTTGGATGTAGTTATTTTCGGTGATAAGAACGATTTTGGTATTAATACTTCACAATTATGCCTCAAAGGGCAACCTGGTTGACCCAAGCTTGGATTTGACTTAGAAATCTCAAGTTCGAACTTTCCAATGAACTTAATGTCAAAAATCCTTGATGTCTATTGGGTCCGAGCCTTGGGACGGACACGGGTGCTCCTTGGTATAGGTTAGCAAAACTCGAACTCCCAATTATATTTCGTAAGCAAGGATTTGAATTTATGATCATTAAAAAGAGAGGTAAAAGGGTTGATTTCTTCCCTTCCAATCGAACAAAAAGAGGAAGATATTGCTATGATCATTTCACAATGTCAATGCTATGGCTCCTCCTCAATTGAACATTTTCATATTAGTATATCTAAATACCATAATTAATAAAACTCACGCATTCTTTTAAAAAATAGGTTAAAGGGAAGAAAAGGCAGATAATAAATTTAATGGTTGTTGGTTAGTGCCCGAGATTCAGGAGGCACTAGGGAGATAAGAGTGCACTTCATAATTAGACATAATAACAGCAATAATGAAAGTTGCAAAGCGCAGAGATGGCGTCTCCCATGGTGGGTCTCATGTTTATGTGCTCTCTTCACCACTAACTCTTGTTTTGGGTTCCAGAGAGACGCCATCCTTGGGATTATCATTATCATTATCATAATTATTGACAATCATTATCATATATTATCGATTCCCCCGTGGCTCCTCTAAACAAGCCAAAAGGTATGCCAATCCACGACCCTTTTAACATTTTTAAATGCTGCACACTTTAAAAGCCTTGTTAAAGTAGTACATTGTGTTTGTTGCTCTTGCTCTGGCACTGGTATAGTGTGTTTCAATCAATCATCAGATGTTTATCTGCAGTAATAGTTCAGGCCCTCAAAACAAATAAAAGATGTGGGTTTCTTTTTATAAGCTACCTCTGGCTCTTTTTGTAAACGCAGGCCAAGTGTTCGACATAAGTTCATAGACCCTTTACTTTATTTCACTAGTATGGTAAAGAAACAATTGGGACTGGGAGAGTTTTTTCCGGGGAATAAAAACGAAAGCCAAAACTTTTAGTCAAATAAGGTGACATTTTTTTTTACTACTTGCTTAGTTCTGTTCGGTGTTCAGTGGAAATTCAATGGGTGCAGATGCACTTGTACTGGATTTTTTACTTTACATTCTTATAAAGTTTAATAAAGGACAGAGATTGAGTACCATGGCAATCATGAAGACGGCCGCTATGTCAGTTTAAGTGGAAAAAAAAAAGCAGCAAAAACAAATACATTATCGACCTTGCATTGCTAATGGTTCCTTTATGGAATTCGTGTCCTCTTTTTGGCTCTCACTTTACTCGAGAATCTTGAAACTCGAGACCAAAAACGTTACCTCCATTTCATCATTCCCTGTTAAATACCCAAATGACATTCCCTCGTTTTTCTGTGAAAAGAAAACGTGAAGACTGAACGAATGAGTCATGCTCATCTCTCTTAACTCAGGCAGGGAAAGTAAGGCCATGCATAGTCACTTGTCTTGCCATTACTGTGTAATCATAATTTTGGCTAACTGCTAAGTGTTATAGAGAGTCAGACTAGAGCAGTGATTACTTGTCTCTCTGTGAAATGGTTTCAGTGAGCTCATGTTTGGCTAAATGTTCATCAACTCGGCTGGAGAACATAGATGAAAATGGTCCTGCAAATTGGTTACCGGGTTCAAGTGTTCTACCTGAAACTCCAATTGAGTCTATGGAGTTTCTTGGCAGATCCTGGAGCCTTTCGGCCAAAGAGCTCTCCAAGGCTCTTTCCACTGCTCATGATGCTCCGAGTCATGTTCAAAAGTCGGTGGTCGGCTTTCTTAGTGCTGAAGCTCGTGACTCAAATTCCACAGTTTTGAGAGAACCAGTGAGATGCCTCTTCCAACTCTCTGTTTTAAGTCATTTATCTTTTATGTTTAAAGTGTTTGCTGCATCTAGCAAAAAGCCAAAGGATCACGGTACAGAGAATAAGAACCACATCAAATGGTACACCTGAATAAACCTAATGAGTTTGTGAAACCAAACCGTTAATATGCAATATTCTCTTGTTCTTCGACATGTAGATATAAATTTGATTAATTGTTTTTAAGTGTAGCAACTCCCTTTTTTGATTAATCCTGCTTGTAGCTTTATAAATTAGCTGTGTTCTTATTTTTGCAGCTACTTCAGCACTTACCCAGTGGAGATAGTCCTCCAGCTTCACCAAGAGGAAGTGATGAAATGAAGGTACTTTATTTTGAATCTCTCTGAAGCCCACAGTCTAGCGCACACAGAAACAGAAGAAAGATACATACTGCAAACCAACTAGTTTCTGTTTTGCTGCATCATTTGTTGTATTGGTACAGAGCATCTCTCAAATTCTGCACATGCATCTTATTTTGAGCAGGAATTATTGTTACTTCACCAAGCATTGAATCCAGAGTTCCTTTCTAATCAACAACTACTCGGAAATGGGGTGTGTATTCTTCCTTCAAAACACACACACACACATGTGAGAAAAAAAAGAAGAAAATTTTGTCATACATCATTTTATCTTTCTCTGCTGCAGCTATACAAGAGCATATTAAGAGGTAATAAAACACTGGGGAGGTGGATGAAGGATCAAAAGGAGAGGAAGAAGCAGGAAATCAGAACACAGAATGCTCAACTACATGCAGCTGTATCTGTGGCAGGTGTTGCTGCTTCCGTAGCTGCATTTATTGCATCGCTTGTGTCGCGGGAAACATCATCTGGTAATCAGAAATGGGCTTCAAAGACATCAGCAACCATAGCTTCTGCAGCTGCTCTAGTCGCATCTCATTGCATTGAGATGGCAGAGGAAATGGGAGCTACCCATGAACATATCTTGAATGTAGTTAACTCTGCCATCAATGCAAGAACTAATGGAGATATCATGACCCTAACAGCAGGAGCTGCTACAGGTGCCAATAAAACTTCATAAGCAATTAATGTCCAAAACCGATGAAGTAAAATGTAAAATACTTACAACTTTTGTTTACTAGTGCAGCTCTAAGAGGAGCTGCAACCCTGAAGGCTAGGTTTGAGAAAGGGTTGGGAGCTCCAAACTTCACTGTTGGAGAGGATAAGGTTGAAGAAGAAGGGAAAGAATCAAACATTTTGATGGTAATTAACTACGTTTCCAGAGGAGGAGAGCTTCTCAAACGCACAAGGAAAGGTATAAGTTACAACGGAAAGAAAAAATGATTCAGTTAGAATGCATTTTAAGCTTGAATAGTGTCACAAATTCTGATGCCTGCTTTCACTGAGATTAGAAACATGGTGGTGGCAGGGGTTCTCCACTGGAAGCAAGTTTCTTTCAACATAAACTCAAATTGGCAGGTAAGACAAGAAGTGGTTGAAGAGGCTATGATGGTATTTCTATTTGACAAGGACAAATATTCTTCCTCATTAATCTTCTCATCACATTCTTGGAAATGAGTATTCAGAAGTAGAATGTGTATACAGGTTGTGGCAAAATTGAAAAGCAGGCACATGGCAGGAACATTTACAAAGAATAAGAAATGTAAGACAACAAATCTCTCTGCAGTTGCCTACATAAAAATCTATATCGATGAGCCGTTTTCTGTTTCAGGTGTAATCTCAGGTGTGAACTACGACGTTGCGGCGTGGCCCGGGCGAGAAAGGGATACCGATGGCGGCCAGAGGGCCTACTTTGGAATAGTTACAACAGATAGAACAATAGAGTTTGAGTGCAGTGGGAAAGGAGAAAAACAGATGTGGATTGAGGGGATACAATATATGTTGAACTTTCGTGCCTACATGAAATGATTCTGACCCTAACAAATAGGCCTATCGAACATTGGAATAAAATGAATCTTCTCTCTATAGATTGTAGTGTTCTTCTGTTGGTGACTGTTACCCAGAATTAGGAATCAAAGAGATGAAGGACTGGTGCAAAATCTTGATGCACGTTTCAAGGAAAAAACAAAACTTCCAAGATCCACTTGTAAGCTTCCCTCAAAAAGAAGAGGGAATTTTACACAAAAATTTGTATGGAATGCTATCCTGTTTCACCATTTCTTCAAAGTTCTTGTCTCCATAGTTTCTTCTACAAACGATTAGTTTGGCTCTTTAAATTGGTATTTTTCATTAACCATAATGAAGAACTAAATTGTTCCCTTGAAAACCTAAAATGTTGTATTTTCCTAACTTTATTTATTTATTTATAGATTGTTAAAATAGAACATCCGAACAATCTGAACTATATTCTAACGGCCAATCATATTGACTGAGTTAAAATGATCTGACTCCTTGTTCATACACTACAAGAAAAATGTAATTAATTTCCATCGTTATACCACATTCACACATATTGCAACTATTTTACAGAGAAAAAAAAAATAGTAGCACATAATTTAAAATTTGAATTTTTTAAAAGAAAAAATTGTAGGCTTGATTATTTTTCTATTAAATCTACAATGTTAAATCATTAACAAGATGCAGATTTTTTATTTTTGAAATGAAGGTAATAATTCATTAAGAAGGTAAATCGTTATTTGCTAACAAACAAATCCACGAAGGGATTTCTGCCAAAACAGGGTCCCAAACCCGCGAGATTTCTTCGTCCATGGAATTGGAGCTTCGACCGCTGCTGCTCTTCAAATCATGCGGCATCTGCGTTGAGCTTCCAAGAATTTAGGGGTGGAGGAGACCAAGATTCAGGTACACTTTCATGTCTCTGTTCAAGAAGATTTTGCCCTAAAGTGAAATTTGAGTTGAGCTTCTGATCGTAAAATAGCTGTGTTTCAATTTTGTATCCGAGTCTGTGTTGGTGTGGAATCTCCCCTAAAAAATCACCGAATTTCTCTAGGACCAAATTTTCCGCGCCATGGTCATCGCTCTATCCAGCTCTTGCTGCTTGGCATGCTCGATAAGCCAGTTCCAGTAGTCCCAATTCGTCCACGAGTTTGTGAATGGATTAAAAATTTCCATAAGAACTCAGGAAAGATCCCACAGTGGTTTGGTTACTTTGGACTCCCATAGAAGGTGCTTTATAGATTCCTCTTCTCTCCTGCACAAAACACACTAAATATTAGAATGAATTCCTTTCTTTAATAAATTAGATTTAGTAGGAAGAATATCATTCATAATATTCCCGCAGCAGATTCTTGTTTTTGTGGAAATTTAGCCTTCCACAGACATTTCCATTTGCGGCTTTGAAGTTCATTATTTGAAGAAGATGCTTCTTCATTGAACTTTGACACGAAGCCCAAGTGGTAAGCATTTTTTACCCAAAACGCCTCTTTTACCGGCCCAAATAGCCTCTTCATTCATGTCCTTCTTATGCTGAATCATCTCCTCGTTCCAAACCCCCCTGGTATTCAAATGGAGGTCACATTATGATCCTTCAACGTAGGTGGATCATAAAGAAGTTTATAACTTCCATCTCTTGGCAGCTAAGGATATGAGTTGATTGATATTGAAAACCCAATTTCCAACTCTCCACTGTATCCCTTTTCAAATAGCTCTCCAAGGATTGTTTCTCAACTTTGCCTTCAAGAAACTGCCCGTTTGAAAATATTTGCCTCTACAACAGACTACTTTGGTTTTTTATAATCCTCCAGCTTTGTTTAGCAAGCATAGCTTGGTTAAACACTCTTTTAAGTCTTTGAAACCCATGCCTCCTTCTCTCTTTCTGGATGCAAAGATTCTTCCAACTAGCTAGTGTATCTTTCTCGATTCTTAATTTGATCGCCTCCAAAACTTCGCATAAAAACCGTTAATCTCATTACATAAAGTCGCAGGGAGCTTGAAGCAACTCAATTTATAGTTTGGTATTGCTTGTGCTTTTGTCTTCCAGAAAAAAGTGTCCTTCCCGCCTTGCAAAGCTTTCCACAATGCATTCTTAACTACCATTGAACTTAAGGAAAAAAAACTTATCTACAAACTGACAACTGTCATATTTTTAATGGACTATTTCTACTGCATTCAATAGTTAAATGAATCAAGGTCTATCTCTACTGCATTCAATAGTTAAATAGATTGGTAAAATATACACCACATCAGAAAGTAATTACGAGCAAGCTCGATAGGTATTTTCTAAAAACAGTCTGAAATTGAAAATTATCTATAGATAGACACAAACACTAAAATTACAAATTTTAAACAGGAAGGGATTAATTAGATTAATTAGCCTCAGTCTAGAACTCAAAAATAATTAGCTTGAAGTTTCTTTTGAACCCAAGAAGGAGACAACACAGGGCTCATGTGATAGAGGTCCCCAAGGCTATTGTAAATGGAGTCCCCCGGCGGAGCGCCACCCTCCCCATAATCCAACCACATTTTGTTTTTGTCGTCACCCAAACCCAAAACTACCTTCACTCTCCACACCTTAAACGTCTGGTCCAAACTCCCACTGTAAACCAAAAAACTGGACACAATGTTTTCCATTTCCACGGTCGCCGCCAGGCACCTCACCGGCCCTCTATGGCCCTCCAGCACCACCACGCATTCATGGCAATAGCCCCCCTCCTGCTTCCTCCATATCCTCACTGTCGTGTCCTCCGACCCGCTCAACACCAGCTTAAGCTTCTCCGCCACCGCAAGACACAGAACCGCGAACCGATGCCCCTGCAACAACCCCATGTGCTTATATCTATACGACTGCTTCTCCTTCTCCCAGAAATTCACAGTCCCGTCGGAGCAGCCGGAGTAAAGAAGCGCGGCGTTGGCATCCAAAACGACAGTGTTTACTGGGGAGGTTTGGAACTTGAGCGTCATGGTGAGGGTGTGGGAGTTGTCCCGGTAGAGCCTCCGCCAGATTTTGACAGTGGCATCGGAGGAGGCGGTGAAGAGGCAGCCATCAGCTTGGTTGAGCGTTAGGGAGTTGACGTGGTCGTCGTGGGCGAGGAAGGAGTTGACGCATTTGCGGTCGGAGAGTCGCCAGGCCTTCACGGTTCTGTCGTGGGAGGCAGTGTAGAGGAGGCCATCGGCGTTGTAGTAACCCATGCAGGAGATGGTGTCTTTGTGAAGCTGTGTGGTTTCGGTTCGAGGCAACAACAGGAACGAGCTTCTTTTTGGGAGGGAACACACCTTTTTGAACCTCAACTTCTCCGAAACTGTGAAATTCCATACTCGGATTCTCAGATCTTTGTGTGATGTCAACAACATGTTTCCTGTTGTTTACACTCCAAATATTAGACTTAAGTCTATAAATTCAAAGACTGTACAGTTGTAATTTAACCTCAAAATTGACACTATAACATTTATTTAAATCTACTTTTAAATGTTTTGGGCTTTATTTCTTTCCTATTATAAATTAGGCCATGATTACAAATTAATCCCAAGTGTGTTTTGAACTTGAAATTCTTCTTATTATATTCATTTAGTACCCACATTTGGAAGTTTGTAACAAGTCATGAAGCTTTGAAATTACTTTTGTTGAATAAATTTCTACAAAATTAACCACATTTAACTTATATACACCATCATGGTTTGAAACCTTTTCAAATCAAACCCATCGAGTAATCTTTAAATAATACATAATATAATTGTGTCACATACCATACCATAAGGAGATCCATTAGACATCTGACGATTTATTTTATTATTAATTTGTTTTTATCAAAATATGGATACTAGTCATCACTATCTTGTATTGTAAGTGATCAACTAGGTGTAGTAAATTTATAATTTAAGTTAATTAATAGTAGTTTCATGCTTAATATATAGTAAATGAAAAATTGAAATGAATATACCGGAGGCAGAAATGGCCTTAACTCCGCCGGCGGCGGCCTTGAGGTAGCCACGGTCCATGCAGTCAGGCTGCTTCCATGCACGAATACGAGTGCTGTCGGAGCCAGTAAACACGACGCCCTTAGAAATAGCAATGGAGTAGATATTCCCTTCGCCGCGATGGAGCGATGCTATGCAGTGGTAAACCAGAGAAGGCGAAGGCGTACGCAGAGGAGACAGAGTCCACGGCGATTCAGGGCTCATCAGTTTACGGTTATGTGGGCTATACGACGCTTCCACACCCTCCCCCTCCTGCTCACACATCACTACTTTCGGCGCTGTTTCCATGGAAACTTGTGCGCGGGTGGTCTGTTTCTCATCTTCGTCATCCATGAAGCTGAGTCGTAACGGCTTCTTGGGCTGGATCTGGAAGGTCATGGCATCGGCGTTGGCGTGCATGGGATTAGGATGGGTCGTAGAATGTTGAAATTATGGGGAAGGACAAAACATAATGAAGAGGAAGGAGCAGGAGGATGGTGTTGTATTTAACAAACACAGCGTTGAAGCTTAGCTAGGCAAACAAGGAGTTGATGTTAAATTTCCATATTTAATGTCAAGATTTCCATTATCTGTAAAACGCTATACTTGTCTACACACCCGTTTTTAGAATCCAATTTCCAGTGATCATTGCCAACAACTGAAAACAAGTCATAAAACATATATTGAATTGTAAAACGCTATACTAGCTGGATGTTTTTAACTTTATGTCAGCTGAGGATAAGAAATAAGTTGAATAAGTTGGTTTGGATCATAAAGCATATATTGAATTGTGTGGGTTCTCGGTGCAGTTAATGGTGCATTACTCTGTGTTTCTGATGGCTATATAAAAAATAAAGCTGATCGATTGTCAGTTGGGACATTATAAAAAAAGATAATAATAAGAACAGGTCGAAAATATATAAATCTGCGTAAATTAATTCATAAGCCTAACTATACTATACAATGCGTTATTTTTACTTCAAGATTATTAATTTTCTAAATTAATTATTGATTGGCTAAAAGTAGGATCTCTAGAAATAGGCTCTCTCCAAAGTGCAAAATTTTTGCCGACTGTTTTATGGTTCCTAATGATCAAAGTTCAACGTCGGAAGAAACACACATGCATGCATTTATTTATATATAGTGAATCAACCACAGGTCGGTTTTAGGAGAAATTGCTAATGGGCCAATTCATGATTCATCCAAATGTGTACAACTTGTTTACTTTTGCTGATGAAATAAATAAATATAAGCAATTTTTCTGAAATTTAAAGAGTTGACCTGGAAATTTGTAGAAATTGAATTAAAATCCAAATTCTACAAGTTTGTGAGGATTGACAACAAGGGTGAGTAGTTGAATAGAAAAGGCAAGTATGGGTCAAGATCATATAACTTTTCTATTAAGATTAATTAACTAATGATCCACAAGTAAATTATGAGTTTGATTCTTAATCACTTAAATTTCTTAATTTTATCTTTAATGTTTTAAGATTCACAATTGAGTTATTCTATCATAAAACTTCATGTCATTATTTTGTTAACTTAGTTGGACCACTGAATGTAGCATTTGAAAATAATAGATTTTGTTAATAGTTGAGTTGAGTTCTATGCCTCCACTAGTTTATTACAGAAATTAAATTGAAAAATATCTAAAGAATTAGAAATCATTAATTAATTATTCATATTTAGTTTTAACCTAATAATTTAATTTACCTTTTCTAATTCAACAACCCGTGGGATGATGGATGATGATTTTTTTAATACAATGACATATAGAGTAGGGATTTGAACCCAAACATTTTGATGGTCACGTTGGTATAATATATTTTTGTTACATTTTTTTTAATAAATAAGGAAACCGAAAATATGCGGATATATATAGCTTGTTTTATGCCGAAGAACACTAATGGCTATAATGTTCACATGTCTGGCTAGTGGCTACTCACTGTTAAAAGGTACTTGATCGTCACTTTCCCCACGATCCTTTGCTCCATTGCAGCTTATTCTAATTTATTCATCCCATCTCATAATTATTCAACAACATGGCCATGCACCCATGTTATATATATCTCAGTTTCCTTTTCCATTCTTACACTACTCTTATAACCAAATCTTAACATATAAATCTTCCTTAAACTTCATAATTAACTTTTTGGGAGTAATATTTAAAAGTTTCATCGAATAATAGCCTTGCAAAACAACAACAACTTCCTAATTAATGTCCTCTTGAAAATGACGATAATATATTTTACAGGGTTTGCTATTGGATTTATTAGGGGTACAATAAATATATTAAAGAGCCATAATTTCAAAAGTTGCTACCCGCACCTAAACAACTGAAAACGGATCAGAGCTATTATAATGGGCACCTTTCTAATTAATTTATGGATAAAAATTTATTGTAAATTCATTATTATTTGCTCCATGAGATCATGATTCATGGGCATGAAAGCACCATGGAAGCCATAGGGAACTCTTTGTGGCAGTGTGATTTTGGCTACTGCCTCCTCGCTGAACTTTTTTGCATCAATTATATATACCTGACGAAATGAATATATATATGTGATAATTATAGAATTATTAATTAATGGCAAAAAAAAGAAGAGAGAAATTTCAAAATTAATGGAGGGAGTTTAATTAATTTATAATTGCCTGAGATGTATTGGTGATCTCATTGTGAAGATGGGCAATTATCCAGCCATCATCTTCTTCTGCACCATCTTCTCTGGGAACAAACGAAGCTCCGCTGCAAAAGGAGCTGTTCTCAAACATATGGTACTCCACTTTTATGGCCTCATTTCCCCACTTTTTTGGCTGAAATGCCAAATTTATGAAATTAAAGACGTCTTCAAGGTAGTTTTACATAATTAGAATAAAAAAAGAATTTATACCAATGAAAATCCACAACTTTGATCAGGCTCTTCAAAATGTAGCTTTGCCAGGCCACCAAATTTAAACATCCCTAAACCAAACAACATTAGAATATTTAATAAGTAGAACACCAAAGCATGCAAATACAAATCTTATAACAATGTTTTAGTATAATTTAGTACTGATGATGAGATTATTTTATTGGAGATACCTGAATTAGAACTAGCAAAGGAGTCAAGAATCTGTGCATATCCAAATTTGTTTTGAAGACCAGTGAAGCGTGAATTTATGAAGGGAAAATCCATGGAGAATTGAGTTCCACTCAGAAATCTCTCCCGGGCCTCTCCCGTTTTGAGGTTGAGCCTCCACTCGTAAGCTCGAGAAAACAAGGACCCATCTTCCATGGAGCTGGAACAAGAATCACTGTTTTGTTCATCAGCTATGGGTAATGGCTTAAATCTGTTGGAGAACCACTCGAATTTGTTGTGTCCCTTTTCAGGTCCTGGAATTACTGAGTCACTAGCTCTACATCCCCACACCACAACCTGTTAAAAATGGTTTTACTTTTCTAAGTTAAATTTGTTGAGGCATTTGTTTAGTTAGCAAATAATTAGAATAAAATTAACCTCATCATTTTGCTCGAAGGAGTTGAAAAGATGCATGGTGCAATTGGGTTTTACTTGAAACCATTGAATTGAGTCGCCGTCTCCATAACGAGGCATCACTCCGATTCTGGCGTACCCTTCCTTATCATATTTTATTAATCTGCATAACACAAATTATAAAATATAATCTCTCCTCTATGTCAAAAATTAAATCGGTCACTAATTTAATTCATTTAAAAAACAGTTAAAATTAATTAAAGGAATTAGAAAACGTACGATCCGCCTGTGATAAGTCTGTTGAAGTCGATTGTTACGGGGTAATCCAATATGACGTTGTACCTTCGCGTGACACCAATCTCATGGCTGAAGCTCCCTCTACTAAGTTTCACGTCCACTTTATGAACCATTTCCTTTCCGTCTTCTGCAAATCAATAAACATAAATACCCAATTAATTATATATGTTTAAATGGCAAAGTTGATACAAATTCAGAGGAGAAATAAGCCAATGTAACAAAAAATAAAGAAATGGCCAGAGAATAAAAATTTACCAGAAATAATTCCAAGTAGCATGAAGGGTTTGGCTGGAGTGACACCCATGATCACCAGTTCACCGGTGCCCGGAGCTTTCTACGATTACAAAACAAGAAGAATCGATTAACTAATTGAGACAATTGAATAGAAATAATGAAATGAAATGACCTTAGGATGGCTTGTAAAGGGTCGATTCCAAGCTCCATTGACATCCCAAACGCCCAAACTTTGCAAGCTCATGATGTCGATCTGTTGGGGCAAGGAATTGTCGGCAACAGAGTAGAATTTCCCCGAGTGCTCAATTACGTTCGTGTTGCTCATGTCTTTGTTTACTGTACCGAATCGAAGCTGTAATGTAAAATGTAGTAATAATTAATTAAAGCTAAGCCCATAATTTAAATTACATTAGTTAAGAAATGAAATTAGAAGGGCAGAGGCAGAGACCATGTTGAGGAAAAAGGCAGAGAGAACAGCGAGAGAATCGCCTTCAATTGCAGGAAGAAAATATGGTCCGTTTTTGACGTGTTTCTCGAGTTGGAATGTTTGGGTTTGGACATATCTGTTGTTGTAAAAGAGATTCCATTTGCGTAATTTGGTGTGGTCCTTGTTGAAATACAGGGCGTGGAGCATTCCTTCTCCTTCCACCCATGTGTAATTCGATCTTCCAAATATTGATTTCGTCGATTTCAGTCCTCCAAATAAAGGATTTGGTCCTGCATTAACACATATTGCATTATACTTATAAACCTACCTTAAATATTAAATAATATTAAATATTTTACCAACATACCCTCCAAATATAGAGAATATTTGGAAAAAAATTTTGGTACTTGGTGAGTACCATGCTCCAGCTCGTTCTTTCAACATTGTCTTAAAAATGATACGGGGTCTATTCTTTCCTTTATTGTGTGGAATATGGTACTCATTTAGTCTTAGATTTTTTATCCAGAATTCGTCGCCTCTAGATCTTACATTTTATGGAAAATCATACTTCTTTTATAATTATGATGTAACTATCATTTCCTTAAATTGGAGTGCTAAGCATTCCTTTTTTGTATGCTCTCTAATAAAGTAGCTCTCCCTTCAAAAAAAAAAAGTTTGTTTGGACTATAAATAGATAGGCACTCATAATTGGCAATCTAATATCTCAAATCTCCAATTTCAAGTGAGCTAAGATGGAAGGGTTAGTGTGAGATAAAAATAAAGGGAGTTCCTTCTTAATGAGAGATTTTGTTCTTATCTCCTATTTCTTCTCCCATTGCCTATAGTTTTCAGATAAATTACTGTTTTCTGTTCTTCTCCCTTATTCTTCAGTACTATTTCTTCTCAATCTATTTTAGCCATGATCTTGTCTATCCAACACCCTCCAACATTAGCTACTTAGTGAATTAACGAAGAAAATAAAAAAGATATATTTTATAAGAATATACTCAGCGTCGGTTTCAAACAATGTAGTGCAAAATTTTCAAGTAGAACTTATATGATAGCTTAGTACTATATTAAAGTAAACAAAGCCTAGTTAGAGTTAGGTCTTGGGTTTAGCCATGTTTGTATTTAATATTAATACTTATTTATTATAAATAAGAAATGAGTATCGATGTTAACTTGATAGAAAATTGGAAATTATAAATCAAAATACAATATTGTAATTAAGGAAAGAAAGTGTACCATTTCTTATGTAGATTCCTTGGGGAAATTCTTGTGGGATTGTTCCTTGGATGGTGGTGACAGCAACAGCCGTTCCAATCTCTTCAACAGGCGCAAGGTTACCCTAATTAAGACCAATTACAAGTCCAAGATTAACCTATAATAATAATACCAAAAACTTTTTGAGGATGGGAATTAGAAAATAATTAATACCTGAGTTGGGTGAAGGGTTTGATCAGAGAATTCAAACACTGAATCAACGAACACATCCAGCAATTTAATGCAACTATTTTTGAGGTTTTTAAGAATGTCAACTTTCAAAGGAAGAAGCTGCTTCTGCTGCTTCTGTTTCCTCATCGGGATCATGGGCTCTGGCTGCTCAAACACAGAATTAATTTAATTTTGTGAAAGATTTCTTGCACAAGAAAAAAAAGAGAGAGAGAGAGAGAAAAAGAGGACCATAATTGAAGAGGAAGGGGTACAGGCATGAATAAGCATCATCATGCGTAAGCTTCCCTAATGGTCTAATTTTTGCTTCTGCCGGCAATTTGGTTCGCCTTCTAGTTCTACTTCCACCTAATTTATATATAAAACGACACCGCTGCACGTGTTGGGATAAGACTTCGACAATGAAGAGGAGTTTCATCTTAATCAAATATTTTATGTTTAACATTTAGGTGGATCCCACTAATACTATTTATTTGATTTTACATTTCTCAAGCATATTTATTTTCATTTTTTATAATTCATTGATTTTTTTTTTCAAAAAAAGATGATATATCAACCAGTCCTTTTAACATCCGTATTAAATATTTTAATTCGTTGAAAATACCGATAGAACTATCGACACGTTTCAATTTATATTTTTCTTTTCTTTTAATAAATGCCTCAACTAAGGAAAACAAGTATACTACTTGGTAAATTTTTTTCTTTTTATTTCTTTTTTTTTTTTTTACCTAAAGAGAACATCATCTAAGGTACAAAAGTAGTGGGACGAAGCAAATATGCCAATTTGGCCGTATTTGCCATCTAACAAAATAGCCTTGTTTATTTGATTATGGAATATGCTTTCGTCTTGTATATATATGATATGAATTATGGGTGTTCTAGGAATAATTAATCAAGTATAACGACGTGATTGAATTCAGCCAAGGCATAACCCATATTAATTATTATTAATATATTTTTTTAGGATATACATTATCTATTAATGTCAATGAAGACATACCTATAATCCGGATTTAATAAAAGGCTTGGATATTGTTGGAGCAGCAATTGGATATATGGCAGCAACAATTAATTGGAGTAGAGATTGAATATGGTGTTGGCCAGAGTTTGATTGCTTACAAGGGCTGAACTAGCTAGACTTAAGAATGTTCGAAAGTAAATTTTCCTGGGTGAATAGACATCTACAGAAATAATACATCACAGTTATATTATATGAACCATTTTCAAATTCCAAATAATTAACCTCTTAGAATGACTCAAGAAAAAATTCCATAGCTTTCAGCTTTGGAGACCAACAGGTTTACCTGAAAATTGCAAATTACTTTCGATACTTTGTACAATCGCAAAAAATTAGTAGAAATTTCCAAAGCAGCATCCACTTCTAAATTTTGTAAAAATAGTAAAATTTAGAGGCTTAACTCACGTAAAAAAACAAAAGTTCAATATATCCTAAATGAATAAAACTCAAACGATAATATACGTAATATACATATCAATCATGTTGACACCATATTTGGTTCGGCTCAAATTTTATTATTTTATTTATTTATTATTAACATTAATATTAATATTTTATATTATAAAATTTTATTTGTTTTCATTAAAAACAACATATTTTACCTTATTATTTTTAAGGTAAGGTTTTCATTAAATTTAAAAATAGATTTTGTTTTAAAAGAATTTGATTTATCATTAAAATAAATAAATAAGATTTGATTTTAAGTAAATAAAAAGATTCGTTTAAATTTAAAAAAAAAAGTTTTTTTTTTTTAATAAAACTGATTCTGTTTTACTCGTCAAAACTACTATCTATAACGTGGCCTTTTCTCCGTTATCTTCCTCCTTTTTTTTCTCTCTTCAATTTTGACCTTCCCCATTGTTACCGTTACATTTTTGCTTATTTAAGGAGGGGAAAGGGAACTGACAGAACACAACGTGAGAGTAGGGGCGACACAAATCTCATAGAAATTGGCTTTAAAAATTCAAATTTCCTTGCGCATCACACAAGTTTGAGAATTTGCATGGGCGTCAAATCTAACTTTACTTCACTCTCATTGTCGAAATCTCCTCAAATTCCAATTCATACATGGTAAGTTCAATCATCTCATCCTATTTCGATTACATCAGTCAACTATGAAAGTTTTTTTTTTCCTTTCTTTTCTCTTGTCCCAAGTGGATGATAAACGAGGATGGGGAGAGCATGAATTTTTATAGTGAGACGAATTATTGAGTTTTCACCCCGTTTAACAGAGAAATAGAGATTCTCTGTGATGGTCTAATGGCAGTCTCAATTCAGTCCTCTCTGTCTCTTTCCATTTCCTCTGCATTTTTTTTAATCGGTTTCTCCCTTTATTTTTAAATAAAAGAATATTGATTCTTTTTTCTTAAATAAATTTTGTTTTAAAGTTAATAAATCTAAAATCATACGTATGTAAAGTTTGTTTTTGGAAGATTTGTTATTTAAGATTTGAAAATTTTGAATAAGATATTTTAAATAAGTTTGTTTAAATAAGATTTTTTATTTTCATTTTTATTTTTTTTTGTATAAAACAGTTTTATAGGAATACAAAATAAAGAGTTTTCTTTTTATTTAAATTTTCGTTTATATTTTGTTTTCCTTTTTTTTAAATAAAATTAAAAAATACAAAGGTTTGTATTTTAAAAAAGAGCATAATGTGTATCCTAAGGCAATATCACATTGGCAATGGACTAGGGTATTGACATACATGACACAAGTTCAAGTCTTTGATTACCTCATTTTTATCATTGTTTTTATTAAATAAAAGTTTTTTTTCTTTTTAAATAAATTTTTTCGTTTATTTTTTTAAACAAAATTAAAAAATAAAAAGTTTATATTATAAAAAACGATTTTAAATTGCATACTAAGGTCTTTGCACACTGGCAAGAGCTTTGAGTATTAACAACCATATTAAAAATTCAAGTCTTTATGTGTGCCTTGATTTCGTTTTATTTCTTTTTTTTATTTATCATTGTTTTCTTACTAAAAAGTATTTTTTTTTTGGACCAAATAACATAATGGGATAATTTTTGACAAAATGTGGTACCGTTTTCAAACGGGTGTCGTAGGGTGCTAACACCTTCCCTACGCTCAGTCGACTCCCGAACCAATGATCTGTTTTTGCAGACCTTRTTTTTATTTTTAGGTGACCAATCACACCTCGTAGATGATTGGTGGCGACTCCAAACCCTTATCTCGAAAGAGACCCTTCAAGGGATGACGTCGGCCACTCCGCGTCGCGATGACGTTGCGACAGC